GATCTCAGAGGGAACGTAGTGATATAGACGCGTTTCAGGGAGAGTTCACACGAGAAGAGGTAGAGGACTGCGTTTTGAAACTCAGGAATAGAAAAGCGGCAGGGGCTGATGGAATTGTGAATGAGCTTTTGAAACAGGGGGGGGAGGGGATGATTAACATGTTGGTCCGGATATTGAACTGGATATGGAAACACGAGTACGCGCCGAAGAGATGGAGAGAAGGAGTAGTCGTGAACCTGTTCAAAAAGGGGGACAAAGCTGACCCGGGGAATTATAGAGGGATAACCCTGCTGAGCACAGTGGGGAAACTGTTTGGCAAGATGATAGACAATAGAATGGGAGACATGTGGGAGGGGAAACAAAAGATCATCGAAGGACAAGCTGGATTTAGACCAGATCGTAGTTGTGTAGACCATGTATATACGTTGAGTAAAATTATCCAAGGTAGGAAAGACGCCGGGCGTACGACACACTGTTTCTTCCTAGATGTACAAAAAGCCTACGACACCGTATGGCGCAATGGATTGTGGAAAAAGATGTGGGACATCGGCATCCGGGGGAAAATGTGGAGGATGTTGAAAAAGATGACAGAATGCACAAGAAGTGCGGTGATGTTGGATGGGGAAATATTCGAAGTACGTGGATATACTCCAAGGAGTCGCACAGGGCTGTACGATGTCACCCACTCTTTTAAGATTTACATCAACGATTTGATAAGGGCGGTTGAAGCAGTAAGACAGGGAGTCCAAGTAGAGGGAAAGAGTGTGTCCGGACTGATGTTTGCAGATGATTTCGTGGGGGTATCCGAAACACCAGAAGGGTTGCAAGAACAAATAGATGCGGCGGTAGGATACACCCGAAAATGGAGACTGTCGGCGAACGTAGGAAAATGCGCAGTAGTGGTCTGTAACGAAGATAAGAAAAATCCCGTACAATTCAAATGGAAATGGGGGGAGGAAGAACTACCGGTAGTAGACAAGTATACGTACCTGGGAGTAGAGATTTCGAAGGAGTGCTCATGGGACGCACACATAGCGAAGTTGATTGGGAAGGGTAAAGCTCAGATAGGCAAGATGGACGAGATCCTTACGGACCCACACCTAGACACTAGGATTAAGAGGTGTATTCTCTTGAATGTGATTGTACCTTAGCTAGAGTATGCAGGAGAGGTATGGGAAGGTAACGAAAAGGCCGTCAAGCAGCTGGAAACGGTGCAGATGGCAGCGGCCAAGAAAATACTAGG